TGTTCTGCAGATACACTCTGGACACCTTCTGATGCTATTTTGCCTAAATTCTGAGTAATTTTAATAATTAGGTGGCACCTTTTTCTTTTCTTTTGAGGAATTCAAGGTCACGAAGCAGAGGAATTTCATTCTGTTTACTGCCAAAACACTGGTACTCCAGGGCTTTGCAGCTATTCATAAAGAGCTACAGAGCAAGTTAGAAATGCAATGGATGATCTCAGCAATTAAGATGTCAGGAAGAATAAAACAAGCAGAGTTTAATTATCTAAATTAGTTTAAGTTACCAGAGTTATAGCTACACTTGCAAAAAAGCACACTATGGAAGATGTAGTATTCCTTGCTGGGTAGGAGACCTGTTCTTCACCTGCAGATGCTTACAACAGCAGCACGTGCTGTATTGGAGGGGAGCCTTTTGTTTTGAAGACTCGCCTGTGAAAAGGTCCCAAATGGCATGGGTCCTTGCTTAGTCTCCATCATCCTCAGGGTTTCCTTAGCATAGAATCACAGACTGGTTTGGGTTGGAAGGGACCTTAAAGATCATCTAGTTCCACCCCCCCTGCCATGGGCGGGGCCCCCTTCCACTAGACCAGGTTGCTCCAAGCCTCATCCAGCCTGACCTTGGACACTTCCAGGGATGGGGCATCCACAGCTTCTCTGGGCAACCTGTCCCAGTGCCTCCCCACCCTCTCCTGGAAGAACTTCTTCCTGATGTCCAATCTAAGCTGCCCCGCTTTCAATTTAAACCCATCCCCCCTTGTCCTGTCACTACAGGCCCTTGGAAAAAGTCCCCCCCCAGCTTCCTTGTAGCCCCCTTCAGGCACTGGAAGGTGCTGTAAGGTCTCCCCAGAGCCTTCCCTTCTCCAGGCTGAACAAGCCCAACTCTCTCAGCCTGTCCCCACAGCAGAGGTGCTCCAGCCCTCTGAGCATCTTTGTGGCCTCTGGACTCGCTCCAACCAGTTGGGCATCTCCTTCCATTAGACCAGTCCCGCAGTGATATGAGGCCTGGCTGTTGGGTGGCATGTCCTTTTAAACAGCACTAACAATTAATTCCCTCCCTCCCTCCCTTCTGCAGAGGTGCGGATTGCTGCAGTTGAAGCTCTCTGTATGTTGGCTCAGTCCTCTCCTTCTTTTGCGGAGAAATGCCTGGATTTTTTGGTTGACATGTTTAACGACGAAATTGAGGAGGTGAGGTTGCAGTCAATACACACCATGAGAAAAATTTCCAACAACATCACGCTGCGGGAAGACCAGCTGGATACAGTGTTAGCTGTCTTGGAGGTAAGGAATTCCTGAAGAGGGCAAGTTGCATTCC